CCCCAAAACCCCAAAACCCCAAAACCCCAAAACCCCTGAAATTCTTAAGAATATTGAAAACGGATAAATTATGAACCAATAAATTATTAAAGAATTTTCTCAAGATTGGTGGACCTCTCCTCCCCGTTATTTTCAAGACCAGTGTCCATCCAGCCATTATCCTGCTTGCGTAGCATTTTTGCTATTTTATCAGGTTCTTCTAATGAATTCAAGGAGTTTCGAGATAACAACCTCTTTTGGGTCTCTATAACACTCAATAAGCATGGCTAAAGTAACCGAATGTGTAGAGAATTATACAGGAAACCTTACCTTCATGATCAGCTCCCTCATCTTCACTCTTATAATACTTCAGTTTCAGGTTTCTAGGCAAGGTGGTTTTCTTCTATAATTCAGTGAGGATCCAGATCTTACTTGTATATGAGGAACTGCGCAATTTTTCTTCCGATATTTTATAGCTGACAGGATGTATTTATAGTCAGGATTTTTATTTGATATCATACGTGATTAGACCAGTCTTATCCATCTCTTCCTTTTCTTGGTTGAAGTGCTTAGCAATACCCAAGGGTTCCACCTTAGAACCCTCAAGCATCTGCTTGATGGTCTCATGCAAATGGATGCATGTGTTCTTGCAGAGTAAGAGAAATGCAAGGATTCCTGCGAATCATAAGCAAGGAATTCCGTACCTTGAGCTCATTCTTCTTTGAAGCGAATCGATACTGAATCCAGAAGTCTCTGGATCGTAGCATCAGTTGTTCAGTATCCCAGGACTTCCGTAGAACCACCAGGAGAACAGCCAGTGGATCAGAAGCGAGAAGGGGAGAATAGACATGACTTTATGGTGGATGTCCTCACCTACTCTATTGCTTATCTGGTAATGTCTCAAGAACATGTACTTTTCCATCCAATATTGCCAAATTGAGTAGCCAGCAAGGATATAAACAAGCATTGGGAAAGCACTTGAGAAGGTCAAGGTGACAAATAACATCGTGAGAGTCCTGGCATAGCTAAGTGGCATATTAAGGTATAGTCCTTGATAAAGCTTCTCATACTGTCCATTACGCTTATATCTCTTTTTGAAGCATCATCTGAGGCATTTCATAAGAATAGCTTTTGCAAAGTTGACTAGACAGTATCCAATGCCATTGATTACCATGAAGAAAAGGATTGCATTATTAGTCTCTAAAAACCATCCTTTAGCAGTATCCTTATAGGTGACATCCTCAGTCAACTCGTTAGAATAGATAGGCAATTCAACATCTGCTAGGGCAATCAGAATTCCTGTGTTCAAATACATCAGAATGAAGATGTACACTGTGACCTCCCGATTCATTGTGGTTTTGTATCCATGTCTAGTCACTTTGTTTATACCAATGTGACGAAAGTTAATTCTATCAGCTCGTTAATCCCAAAGATTACGATCGAGATTATCAAGTTCATCAGTGTCTGTGTCTTGAATCCTACAGAAAGTTTTAGAACAACTTGGCATGAATTATGTATATTTAGGGAAGGAGTTTATAATTCCACCTGGAGTTATCGAAAACAACAAGATTACACCAAATAATGCACAAGGAAGAAATTAACTTACTCTTTCCGATATCGTTAGAGTTGACTGTATTCAGAGTCCTCCAGCTGTTTGTATCAGACATCTTGTCCTGGCTTGCTCTGATACTATAAATGATCATCCCTCCAATCAAGAGAAGGACACCAACAACTGCGAACACAATGAATCTTCTACATCACCTATTCTTAGACGTGATTTCTAGATTTTCCCAGCTATAAGACAGTTTCAAAGGAGAGGAACTTACATGATCTCAGTAGGGTCTGGAGCTGTCTTGAGATGTATCCGATGCTTTCCTAAGAACTTTCTGAATTTCCGAGTGGCTACACAAAACCTGTATTTCTTCTTCTCAACGTCATACTCCCACAACTTTCTTCTATTAGCATAGGAGAATTTGGCAATAGCTCTTGTTTTCTTCTTGGGGTTCTCAAACACAGCATAAGCCCACAATTTATCAAGATCTTTGATGCAGGTATCATTCGGATATTTCTGCAGAATAGACTGAGCAAGCTTGGACTGCTTCTCAGTTAGCTTCAACTTATTCTTACCTCCAAGAGCAATCTTTTTATTCAGCTCAGACAATTTTTTATAATCAATGAGCATATTTCCAAAGTATCTTGCATAATTGATCTCAACCACCCTGCCTCCATAAGGCTGGAGATATTCGATCAGTTGTTGGTCTGTGAAACCGTTCTTAGGGATACCTTTGATCTCAACAGAGTAATCATTCATAAATGTGAGCTCATACTCAGCCTCATCGATTCTTTTATTAAAATATTTATGTAGGATTAGTATTCACAATGCAAAGGTAAGTGAGTATAGCACATCTGTGAACAACACTATGTCTCCTGCTAGCTTTTCATCAGTAATGAAGTTTTGTGGCTCTATAGATTATTCTAAGAAATTACTCTCCTCGTTTGTGTGACTTGCTAATCAGAAGCGGTCAAATAAACCATTCCTTTCATCAGATGGGACTCCGTTGACGATTCCATTAGTGACCACAACAGGGGTCACTAAGATAGATAATATAACACTGATAACAGCAATAGATTTCAGAAAAAGCATGTAGAGCCAAAACCCAAGTCCATAATTTCTTATTTTAGACAAAGGTGTACTACAAATGGGGTATCTCTTCCCATTTTCATCTCAAATTTTTGTTTTTTCAGCTTCTTCCTTTGCATGTTGCATTTCAGAGTTATTATCACTTTCCACTAGATTGTCAGTCTATTAACCTACTTTCACCTTCGGAATCTTGACAAGTATTATTCTCCATTAATATTTTTATAATTCCAACCCTAGGCAATCATTTAGGGGTTTTGGGGTTTTGGGGTTTTGGGGTTTTGGGG